GGGCCCGTCTTCTGGCACTCTCTCTGACAACGTTCCCCATCTGTTCATGGGATTTTCTGTTTCTGACAATGTTTTGGTGCCATCTATAAGTTTCCGGTGGCTAATTCCACTATTCATTCTTCGTAGCCTGTTCTTAGTCTGGAAACTGATGGAACCTGTTTAGTCTGGGTGACCCTGCTGGCATTTGCAATACCAGTGATATACTTCCAGCATCACAGCAACACGCAAGCCACCACAATGTGTCAGGCTGACAGACAAGTGTTGGAATTACATTGTTCTATAGTATAAATTAAAATGTATTCAAACAAAAATCTCACAATATACAACCTCTAGCCCCATTCCCAAGTAAGGTTGGGGACAGGGCTTGAAGGCTTTATATCCTGTCTTACACGCAAGAACAGGGAAAGGGAAAACCACAAGTAGTCAGCAGATGGAGCTGGGTGGGATAGGGCTGCTCAAGGCTATTGTGGAAATCACAGCAGCCTTAGACTGAGGGCACAGGCTTCAGAAGAGCGTGGTCCAATCTACTTCCATGAGAGATACATCCTTGTCACCTCATCAGGACCAGCAGCACTGGGTTCCTCTGCTGTCACTTCATCTTTATCAATGCCTAAGCCAAGCTTGATCATGCAGTAGATGTGGTAGGAGTGACCCTGGGGATAAGCCAGAAGAGAGCAGTGAGTTTCAAACAGCAGCACCACCAGATCCTCGATGACTGCCGTTCCTGACTGCCACAGCATTCTGCCACAGCCTCTCACAATGGGGTGGTGAGGATTGATGTCCAGGTGCTTTCTGGCCACCATGTAGCCCATTGGAGAGTTGTCCCAAACAGCCTAGCCATTCATGATCTGCTCCATGTTGGCCATCCAGTAGTACGTACTAGTCACCGTGGAGCAGGGGGAAGACACAAGTCTATTGGAGATTGTCACTTTCTTGACCTTCTTATCCAGATTCCCTTCTTGACCTTGCAGAGGTTCTCAAAGTCGGCCTTGCTTTTCACCATTTTAGCCCTCGGCCCTTCTTGGTAACAGCCCAGAGTCTTCATCAAGCTCCTTGAGCTGGTGCACACACAACTCGTCAATAGGTTTGGTCATTTAGGCAACTTCGAAGTCTCCCTTCTTTACTTGCTCCACAAAAGCAGAATTGGCCACCTGCTCTTTGCTCTCACCAGTAATATGATAGATGGACTTGTTGGTATCCTTCATGTGAGAGAGAGATTCTGAGAGAGAAATCATCTGATTTGGAAGGTGTGATTCCACAGCAGCTTAGAAAGTCACTGCTGGTTAGTAGAGTCTTTGTGAGTGCCAAGCTTCAGGTTTGAGAGAAGGCCTTATAGAATTTCTTATAGTTCTTGTCTTTGCCAACTCAGAGAAGAGTTCAAGACACCACATGACAATGTTTTTGCAGATGACCTTCAAGATTCTCTTCTGCTGGAGCATTCCTCAGGAGCTATTCAGAGCACACACACACACACACACACACACACACAAAGCTGACATACGCTGGTATTAACTCCTCTCAGCTGTCCATGATGGGCATAAAGCTTAATGTTGTTCTTTTTCTTCTTGCTCTCGAAGAGGTCAAAGGGAGCTCTTTGACCTTATAAAGGGCAAGTGGTCTTCCCAGTGGTAAGTAAGGCTCTTGTAGATTTTCCCATATTCTTTCTGTGTGATGTCATCAGAATTTCTGGTCCAAATAGGCTTGATCTTGTTTAGTTTTTCTGGGTCCATATATTTCTCTATAATCTTTGTGGTCTTTTTCTTGTTCTTACCACTGTCATCTTCCTCATCTGAGCCCACAGCTTCAATCTGGGGCTTCTCCTCATCATCCTCATCTTCTTCCTCGACCTCATCATTCTTGTTTTCCTTTTCTCATTCCTTCTCCAGATGAAGGGTCCTGGGGTAGCCTGTGAACTGGGAATGCTTCTTCACTACTTCAACTCGCCTCTCCTCTAGCTGCTCTGTCTGGTCTTTAAGGTGCAGAATCACTTTGGAACCCTGACTAATGGACTACTGGGGTCATTACAGCCAGTGAAGATTCCCAGACATACTGCTTATCTCCATTATGCTTTGTGATCACAGCCTCTTTCAACAAAATAAAAGCCAGCACCAAATTGCCCAATCGTGGAAATGTCTACACTCGCTTCCAGAGCCTCCCTGAATGCTTTGGTACCAGACTTGGCAGTGGTTCCCAAATTATTAATGAGACCAGCCTTGGTCCTGCCAATGCCTTTATGGACTAGGGCCAGCGTGTTCCTGGGGGCTGGGGGGTAGGGGGTGCTGATTTTCAGCTCTTGACCACTGTCCAACTTGGAAAGGCCTGTCAGGCTTTCATACTGAATCTTGTCCAAGGCATCAGAAGCATTAAAGATCAACTCCACTGTAACTCGATTTTGTTGATTGCTGAATGACCTGCCTCATTCTCCCTCCCATTTCAGAAAGCCCCATTAGTGATTGATAGATTTCAGAATGTACTCATGTGTACCCTGCATGAGGGCATTGTAATCAATCCTGTTATTCTCTAATATTGTTCCTTTTTTATGCTGTAACCAGCATGTTAAAATTAATCTTACTGTTCTTATTTTGTTAACCAGGATATTATAATCAAGCCTGCCATTGCAGTTTAATAGATGTACTCTGCAACACTCGCTTACTCTAACGAATGGTGACAGTAATGTTGCTATTTTTGCTTCTGTAACCCCCACATGCTTCATAGAAAAGGCACTGATAAATGAGCCAAATAATTTTGTGGGTTTTTTGTCTATGTAAACACCCTCAGGGCTGCAACCTAGGGAAGCATTTTTAACTTCCTGGTAGCCCAGCTATGACTGAATAAAGACTCTTCTCAGTTTTCAAGACATTATAGTAGCTGTTGTTTATTTTAACCCACAACAGATGAGAGACATGAGTTGGACCAAATCTTTGCCTGAAAGGCAAAGGTCTCCACTCCCTTCTCTCCATGATGCACTTCCTTTGGCATCTTGCAGAGCTGCAAGTTCCAGAGAACAGTGGGTAGGGGCTGCGCACAGTTCACTGCGGCTTGAGCCTCAGAGGGGACTCAAGAGCACTAGTTCTTGTTTTATTTAGTCACCCCCCAAACTCACTGCCATCGAGTTGGTTCCAACTCGTGCAGCATCATTTACTTGTTGCACTTAAAAATAAGCTCGACGTGTCTCTATGAAGAATTGAATATAGACAAGATCACCAAAGTGCTAGGCTTGCTAAAATTTCAAACCTGGCCTTTGGAGAAGTTCGTGTAAGCACAAAACTGGAGGCTGGAAATTGAGCTCGAGGGCAGAAACATAAAGATCATTGGAAAGTGAAAGATTTCAATCAAAGGCAATCTCAGCAATGGGTCATGACATGGAAAAATCAATTGAAAAGTATCTGGTCTACTCAGTCACAAAAATTTAATAAAAGTAGAACTCTTTATGCAAATGAAAACTTACAGAAATATCAATACAAAAGTTAAACTGTGTCTATTGAAACAAGGATGGGGTGGATGGGAGCCAAACCCTAGCTAGAGCCTCCCAGCCACCTATCTCCCCCCAGTGATGTCTCACTCAAAACTCACTGCGAAGTGTGCTTGACACACTGGAGGAATGTATGGGTTGTAATAAGAGATGTAGAACCCCCAATAAAAGTATTAAAAATAAACAACCCACTGCAACCAAGTTAGTTCTGGCGCATAGTGATGCCATGGGTCAGAGTAGAGTGACTCATGGACAGAGTAGAACAGCCTCTGGGAGTTTCAAGACTGTAAATCTTGATGGGGCCAGAAAACCTCGTCTTTCTCCGTGGAGCTGCTGCTGGTTTGAAATCCTGCCTGGGGGTTAGCAGCCAAACACATCGCCCACTACTGCCAGGGCTCCTTCCGGCGATATCTAGGGAACACATTCTAAAAACAAGGACATGTAGCCACACACCCCCACTCTCCTCCGAGGGGACCAACAACAGAAACCATGGGGAAAGGGAGCCAGCAGTTGGTGTAAGATATGAAAATATAATAAAGTATAGTTTATCAAGGGGTCACGAGG